GTCAGATATTTCGTTCAGTGGCTGGATCCACCACTGCCCACAACTGTAACTGTTCGATTCACATCTCTTGAGTGTCTGAGATGAACTGAACGCTGATCAAAAATGATTATTGTACCATCAGCTGACGATAATATTTTGTGCAACCACTCAATTCACGAGTCATCTTGGATCCCTGTTCGAACAGGTCGATCTGCTCGGGTCGAGATTGTGTAGAGATCGTGTGTACGTCTTGTTGGTCTAGTAGGGATCGCGTTGGGATTGTATGTAGGTCGGAATGATCGAGAAGAGATCGAAGTTGTGGTCGACTATACGTCGTGCAGGAGTCATGAATGGTCGAATGTGGGTCGTCAATGGTCGAATGGCGGTCGGGAAGAGCTTGTGTTTAGGCATGGGGTCGGGTTTGGTCGGGGAAAAATGGGTGATCGGGCTTGATTGGGCTTGGTCGGGTTGGTTTGATCGGCAGTGGGAACCTACCATTATGGGCTTTGTGTGTATCAGTGGGGTAAATCATGCATGAGTAGAAGAAACTAATTACTTAAAATTTCAGATCAAATTGGAAAACACCTAATTGATTGCATTAATAGTTGAAGAGTCCATGAATTAGTAAATGTAAGTAAATTAAAACCTGCTTCCTTTGATTCTGTTTGGTGTTTTTTACACTAGTGCAGCAGGCCAGCAGTGTATTCGCAGCTCACAGTAATATATTTAGTTCCACGAGTGCCATTAAGTGTCGGTTCCACTAATTGGTGTACATATAGCTCCGATTAGTCTCATTGGACAACCCCATATCGTCAGAGTCCAGCAGCCTGACATGTTAGCCTATGGACCCCCCCCCCCACAAAAAATATAAATAAATAGTAATAATAATAATAATAATTAAAAAATATTTAAGAAATAATAATAATTATAATTTAAAAAAAAATACATTTTTCGTTTAAACGAAAATCACATCCACCCGACGTACGTTGACACTAGCTCTTTCATTAGAACAAAAGTTCACCCACCGTAATTTGATCAATATAGGTCGCCAGCTCGCCATTGCCTTTGTTCAAATGGTTTTATTTCTTATGCAAAACAAATATTCAATGAAACGACAAATATAATAGAAATAGCACGAGAAAAGAGGAACTAACTAGAAGCAGAGCTTGTTGAAGTGTTGGTTCTTTAGGTGCTGTCTTACAATATAACAAAGTATACTAAGAAAATAAATAAATATTTACAACATATGTAGCTAAGACATTATGGATATTGGAAGGAAAAAAATAAAAAAGAGGAAAAAAATGGAGGAAAATAGTAGAGGGCAAAAAGAAAGACAGATACAAAAAAAGGAAAATGAATAATTGCAATATCTCTAGAAAAGGAGGATAGATCAGTAAAATGAGGGAGAAAGGAATTGAGTCGAGGGTCGAACAAACAGAGATTCATGTATATTTGTTTAACAATTTAATTTTTTAGCTTTTAAAAATATGTGTGTAGACTGGTAATTTGTTTAACAGATGAATCTATGTTATTTCAAAATACTGGACCGGTGTAAATAAAACAAATTTGTGCGAAATCTGTTCTCATTCGAGAAGTGTGGAAGTGGTTCGACTGTCTAGTGGGGTATGAATGTATTTCGTTATTTTTTGAAAAATGGAGGAAATCGGGAGAGGTAACTCGTTTTTAAATAAACAATCGCATTGTGTCCTGGCAACTGTAATGTCAATTTCAAGCTTCACCGTTTGTTCGTTTTTAATATTCAAAATATCTAAATTCATTTTGTTTTCCTAATTCGCGTATTATTCATCAACAATAATGATCTGAAGCTTTTCAATAAGATAATGGCCATGCATTGATATAACACAGAGTCATCAAAAACATTAACCACATTGATTAAGCAATAGAAAGGTAGATCTAATTATTAATGTGACTAATATTTTTGCTAATCGATGGCCAAATTTCTAAATGTTAACTCCCTTTCTACCGTCGTCATTCCATACGGATAATTTACATATTATATTTGTACAAAAATCAAATTTTGTGTTCCATTTAAAAGACAACACTAAAAAAAAGCTCATAATGATTTGAATGTGGAATGTGCACTCCATGTCCATCACTTTCCAGAACCGAGAATGCGATTGATTGCAAAACCAGGCATTTAATATGCGAATGTAAAGAGATAGTGTAAAATATTTATCAAGGATCATCTACATTCTTCTTGTTACCGCAAACAGATAATAATACTCGCGTGCTTTTTATCTCTCTCGATACCAACCCTTCCTCCCATACTCTCAACTATGTCTGAATGTTTTCCTGATTTAATTAAATATGTTATTGAGGATGTAACTGTAGATTCTGTTCGAGTGTTATGATTGCAAAACCAGCCCAGAACCAGGTAATTATACGAATTTAACGAGATAGTGTGAAACATTTCTCATGGATCATTTTCATTTTTCTTCATGCTGCCGCAAACAGATAACATGCGCTCGCGTGCCTTTTATCTCTCTCCGGTACCCAACCCTCCTTCCATACTCTCAACTCTGTCTGAATGTTTTCCTGATTTAATTGAATATGTTTAATATTGAGGTCCTTTGAGGATGTAACTGTAGATTGTGTTCGAGTGTTATGATACTCTATAGACTAGCGATATTATGATGAGGACATCACATTAGGCCTGACAATGTTGTTTTAAATTTGTGGGTAATTAACATAAAGTTCGAAGGTACCAAGAATACGAATCATCAATTTTAAGAATTTTGTCTTTTATATAACACATTTGCAACAAGTCGAACTTTGGACGCAGTTTGCTCGCGAGTGTAAAGTTATAGGTCAATCACACGATGGATAACAAGCATGCATTATCATTGATCAGTTCTGATTAGTTCATTATGTCCATTTCAGCCAACCCCAACCGTAACTTTTTCCTTTTACTAGTATAGGCAAACAGTTTTCTGAGGGAAGCAAAAACATGAATATTCATGACACGCCATGGACTATATTTACAGAGGGGTGCAATTGTGCACCACATGAAACTCCCAATCAAGTATTTCATTGTTTGGTAGGTTTATTTTACTAACTGTTTAATTATTAGATATCAATGATAGTTTAAAAATATGGAAAAGGTTCTTTTATTTGTTATTTATTAACAAAGTATTTTATATTTAGCAATCTCACATACAAAATCACTATCAAGTGTCGTCTGCTCCGCCGATTGCCGTCTGCTATATACGTTCAAGGCCAGGCGCGTACGCAGGATTTTTTCAAGAGGGGGGGGGGGGGGGGGGGTTAACATTTAACAGCTCGCCATTGCCTTTGTTCAAATGGTTTTATTTCTTATGCAAAACAAATATTCAATGAAACGACAAATATAATATAAATAGCACGAGAAAAGAGGAACTAACTAGAAGCAGAGCTTGTTGAAGTGTTGGTTCCTTAGGTGCTATCTTACACTATAACATGAACAAAGTATACTAAGAAAACAAATAAATATTTACAAAATATGTAGCTAAGACATTATGGATATTGGGAGGAAAAAACCCCCCTCCCCTGCGTACGCACCTGTTCAAGGCACACACTAATATGTGGACTGTGATGTAGACAGTTTACTCGTCATTGTAGATTTATGGTTAGCCATCTGTCATTTAAAATAATAATAATAGTGGGTTCTTGTATAGCGCTCATGTCAGTCAGATTTGACCCTCCTGGCGCTCCCGATTATTACCCTGGCTTTAGCACGGCTGCCATACGGCGCTCTAGCATTTCAAGGAATAAATTCCTACCAGGTACCCATTTACTTCACCTGGGTGGAGTGTGGCAAATGTAGATCAATGTCTTGCCAAAGGACATTAGTGCGGCGGCGGGACTCGAACCGCGGACCTTGTGATCGACAGTCCGGCGACGTATCCACTCGACCACAACACCTCTACTAGTCTTTAATTAGTCTTTAATTGTTGAAACACACACAACTAACACACACACGAACACTCTCACTTCCCTCTCCCCAACACACCATTTCCGCACACCCGGTTCACACATCATACCCAATGGCATACACCCTGCAACATAGTGGAACATTCTACGACATTAACATTTTTTCCTGCAAAATAGACCTCTTGAATCACGTAAGACGTAATTTACCCTATTCTGATGACTTGAATGCATGCCAAGATAACAATGGCTGCGTTTCGATACAGAAATAAACTAGTTTGCGATTAGAAATAGTCAATTTGTCAATAATTGGAAGTGACGTCGAACGAGCTACGTCTGTGCTGGCAGTGGCCCATCGAGCGAACATGAGACAACCAGAGCAATATGTTTCATATTTAATTGATTCGCAATCATTTGTATTTATTTTTACTTTGTGCTCAGGAATTGTTGTCATTAACACAGGGATAAAATAACAAATATGTATAAAATTGTCAACGGTTGGGTTTCAAGCTTCAAGAATTTATTAATAAAAAAAACGAAAAAAGCTGTCTCAAAATATAAAACATTGACTACTCTTTAATCAAATATGATGTAAAAGATATTATGTTATATCATTCTAAGCCCATAGTTATAACACCTTATTAAAGATAGTTATCAACTAATTACACGGCCTACAGTAGACGTACTATATATATATATATATATCTATATATATATGACTATAGTAATATAGGTTGCTTTTTGTCAAAAGTACTTGATGAAGACGTAATGTACGTCGAAATGTTGTGACCTAAGAAAAACTCTTAGATTTAAAGCAAGAATCTTCTAGTCATGATTCATCATGAATTGCGCCATCTTATGCCAAGAAAATTATCAAAAAAGTCATTGCAGTCATTAGTCATTTATGAACATGTATTTGCATTCCAAACACAATGTGGAAGAAACTTCTAAACCAGTTTGCAGGCACAGACCCTTGTCCTTAGATTTGCGTAACAGTGTCTGCAACTTTGAGAATACGCTGAGACCATACTACATAGGCTTTGTACTTCAGCTGCTCCGGAAACAGTCATGGCTGACAGAACTACATGTAGGCTCTGCTCATGGCTTTAGGATTTGTGGTCAAGAGTCCAACTAGAGTATGTGCCTGCAGACAAAATCTGCTTTCCATTTCATCCTAACTACTGTAAGATCTTAACTCTACTGTACATGCACATTAAGCTTCAAACATATTATGGCTAAATTACATAGGAAATTTTGTAAATACATATTTGCAAAATAAATCGTATAGAACTACTATGACAGCTGTCAACTAATTACGTAGTGCATCAACATATCTAGACAAGTGTAATTAAATTGAGCCCTGATCATGGATTTTAATGTATGTTACAGGTAAGCCTCATTTGGTACAACCTTCTGATTCCAGCCATTAACATAAACTTAAGAATGATATATACTCTTGGTTAAAGGAAATTTAATAAAATATATTTACAAATATATATTTCTTCGAAGGAGAAATATAAAGCGTGTCTATTGCATTGGCATACAGCTTTTGAAGTGGCAACCGATAATGCCTATCAATAAACCTGTGAGACTGATTAGTGTAATATTTCTACTGCACATGAAAAAAATAGTTATGCACGAAACAGGTTGATAGTCCAGATTTGTTTTTAAATATTATAAATTGCAATAATGAAACGAAAGCATAAGTACTTTTTTATAAACTGTTTAGAAAAACATTTTCATATATAATTATGATCGAGAATAACAAAATATACTTGAAAGAATGTGTTTGTGTATTCTCCCATCCCCTCCCACTCCCTCCCCCATTAAAAAGATATATTTGCAAAACGTCGTACAGAACTACAATGACAACTGTCAACTAATTACGTAGTACATCAACATATTTAGTCGAGAACGGGGTCTAGGAATGTTTAATGAATATGGGCGCTGATCATGGATTTAAAATGTGTGTTGTACGTAAGCCTCATTTGTACAGCAATTTGATACTAGCCTCATTATCTATTATTTCAAGAGCTACCTATACTGTGCACTATTGTGCTGCAGCGTCAACATAAACTTAAGAATGATAATACTCTCGGTTAAAAGAAACTTATTAGAAAGATAGTAACAAATATATTTCGGTGAGCAGCTGAAATATTTACATTATATAATGGATTATAACGAAAATGAGGGTTCATGTTTTGTTTAGTCTTCTTTAAATCCCTTTCCCCATACGACTAAAGGCTCGATCAGACATTACGCGGCAAAACCGTGGCGTGTTTTTCTTAAGATGACGTAAAGTGTAATAAGCAGCACATTTCAGTGACTTTAATGATCATCATCAATTCACATTATGTGAATTACTTGCATGAATTTAATGAGGATCTGAGATTGCAGTCGTTAACTTCGCGCACGCACGCGCGCCCGCACCCCGTCGTCGGTATGCACTTGTATTGTTCAGCGTTTGCCGTGTAACCTGTGAGAAAGTGCATGTATACTATTAAATGTGAACTTGTACTCATAACCGGTTCGTTAAACGATGCCTAGAAGGATGATTTTGTCGTCGAAAGTTTCATGTTTCTATGGTTATGCCACACCACTGGCCCTTCCTCGACCTTCGCTAAGTTCTTGGTATTGCGAGATGACGCAAATTAGACACGTGATCTGAAAAAGAGAGATAAAATATCAAAATCGTGAATTTTTAAAGCAGCATGAAAAATCGTCTGGAAAAACGACCCAATCAATGCAACTTTTTTCAATACCTATACACACCGTTACATAAAAATAATACATTTGGTTTATTTATGTAATGTTAAATGGACACAGATGTCCCTATACTAAAAATGACACGCTATTTTCAGTGTCATTTTTCATTTATTGTTTGTTTATAAATACTAGTGCCTTGGAGCCCATATTGATTAAATCGTGCACTTTGATAAGGAAAATGTTTAACTTACACAGCACTCAGATAAGTAATACCACTACTAAAAATATATTTTTTCATTTCTGATGTTTGTTGGCCTTGTTCTGTCCAAATGTTGAATAATGCTATAAGAGGTATTGAGCTAAATGACTAATGGTTGGTGTTTAAAAGGAGAATTTTTTTAAATTTAAAAGTGGACATAGTATTTGAGAATCTTCGTCGTTCCTATTGATTCCATGTGAAAGAATATCATACTAGCAATGCCACCGTAAAAGATCTGCTCTTGAAATGCTCCCTTATTTCGAAATATGGCCATAAATGGTTTACAACTTTGGACCACATTCTGACTATTTATAGTACCCGTGTCGAGGTAAATTCATCCTCGCTGTCTTCTATTTTCAGCAAGGTGTATTCGTCTTTTTTGTTTAAAGGTATAAACCAGTTTCGGAAACGCCCCCCTCTCAAAAAATGAAATGGAAGCTCGTATTACCAATCATGTGAAAGAATATGTTTTTACTAATACGTGATGATACAAATGTTGCCGGGAAACCGCCTCTTAATTGATATATTTGGTAAATTATCATATCTATCCGGACTAGATAGATATAGGGTAGTCCCATATACATCTTTCTGTGTAAAGTGCTTGTAAAGTAACCATATGGCTCCGAATATTCTCATTGGGCAACGCCCCCTATCGTCAGAGTCCAGCAGCCTAACATGTTAGCCTATGGACTTTTACCCCAAAAATCGTTAACAATTCATTTGTTTTTTAAACGAAAAGCACATCCACCCGACATACGTTGACCACTAGCTCTTTCATTGGAACCCTCATGTCCCATTGACAATTCGAAAGTTTCCCCACCGTAATTTGATCAAAATGGGTCGCCAGCTCGCCAGTGCCTATATAACACATGTGCAACAAGTCAAACTTTGGACGCAATTTGCCACGCGATTGTAAGGTTGTAGGTCAAGCACACGAAAGATAATAAGCATGAATTATCGTAGATCAGTTCTGATTGGTTCATTATGTCTATTTCAGCCAACCCCCACCTTCATTTTTCCATTTGGTGTAGGCAAACATTTTGCCGAGTTAAGCCAAACATGAATATTCATGACACGCCATGGACTATTCGATTATTTACAGAGGGGTGCAATTGTGCACCACATCAAACTCCCCTACTTTCAGTCAAGTATTTCATTGTATCATGTAGTTTGGTAGGTTTATTTTACTAACTGTTTAGTTATCAGATATCTATAATAGTTTAAAGATATGGAAAAGGTTCTTGTATTTTATATTTAGCAAAGCAATCTCACTTCTTGACACACATACAATTACCACATACACACGAACACTCTTACTTCCCCTCCCCAACACACCATTTCCGCACACTCGGTTCACACATCATACCCAATGGCCCTACAACATAGTGGAACATTTAAGTTTGGTACGACGTCGAACTAGCTACTTTTGTGCTGGCAATGGTCCAGCGAGCGAAAATGAGACAACCGGAGCAATATGCAAGACTGGACCAAATTGTTTAACATTTTGATGATTTCAGAACCTTGCAGTACTTATAAGCTAGATGGTCAGCCTTTTCTGATCGATTCCACAACGTTTCTTTCACAATGCAATCGCATGACCAGAACTGGTCAATATCTTTAATGTGTCGACCTTATGATTCAAGAACCTCATAAAACTGTCCTTATTTCTTGTAATCAATATTTAAGTAATATTGACTGCCTTCAGGGCAATACGACATATATTGCCCGAACCGAAGGTGAGCCTAGGGCGATATATGACAAGTCGTATTGCCCTGACTTAGGCAGTCAATATTACTATTATTAACCACATCGGACATCTAGAGTAAACAAGAAACTTTTAATATATTATACTCTTAAATTATGTAAAATACAGTAGCTTACACTGCATAGGGTTTCCTAGCATGAACAGTTGAAAAAACATCGTCAAACCACCACTGTGCATCCATGCTCCAGTGCTTGACGACATTTTAAATACACTGCAAACAGTGTGCCTTGGGTGTGATTATTACCTTTACAATAGAGTGCGCGGAAAGTGCGCAGGTTCTCATACGCGTAATAGATGCGCAAAGAAAATTACAAAATACCCGGATGTTGGCTCTACTTTATTGCCCGCGAGTTTAACATGCATTTTGCCATTGACATTTCTGATCGGGCAATAATATTTGTTCATTGGTTAACAGTGTATTATTATTGACCGGCAAATCACACACAAAATCCCATTGACATTACATTGATAATATAGAGATATCGACTGCTACGAGAGGAGTGATGGCAGCGGATTCAACTTTCCCTTGTGCGTATAAAAACAGCCAGTCCTCGAATATTAAAGCAGTCTACTTCTACTTCTACTTCTATAGTAAAACTCATCAACGCCTGTTCAGCATCTAGATGAGGGTAAAGCATAGAGTTGTTATATGCCGAATTAAAACAAAAATCTACCAAGAATTCTTACCTTAGCCTTTTATTAAGTAGAGATTTGTTAAATATCACAAAAAGTCTGAGACAATGTCTGTTAATCTTCGCTGGAAAAATGACTAAAAGTTTCAATCATTTGGGAATCGCAGACAAAAAGCACTGTATGGTGTCCGCGCTCGCACAAAGACAATTTTAACACGTAAACAAATGGGGATCGCAGTACTTATACCCGCCTACAAGTTAATAGTCTTTTGAAAGGATCCCTAGGGCGCTTTTCTGAAGACTATTGACTGGTAGCTAGGCGGGGCATGGCTTAAATCACGACTCCTATTTCCACCAATCAGATGGCTAGATTTCTAACATGAGGTATATTATACAAATATACACTGCCTTGAGAGGTTCTGGTTAAAACTATGCGCAAGAGGTGACTCCAATAGTACTATTTGCTGAGAGGCGCATCAAAAAATTGTTGGCTTTTGATTGGTTGAGAGCTCGTCACATGACCAAAAATATTTGACCTATTTTTAGAAAGTACTATATGAGAGTATTATTTTGGTTTACCATTTGGGAGTTGAAAAAAAATGTGAATTTTTTTTTTTGAATTGAATCAAATTTTGTTTTCAAATCTTAATTTGATGAAAATAAAATATTTTAAATCTTTTTAGATAAGGCGAGGCGTCAAAAATATCGATACCAGCAGGCTGCCGCCTCACGTATTGGCGCATCGAGGCTGCAATTACGGCCGAAGCCTGGCTGGGGCAATTACTTTTCTTTTGTTAGCACAGCCGGCTTGCGCCAGGCTGGGATCTGAGGCTCGGTTTCCATTCGAAAGGCGGCAGCCGGCGTATGCTTTTGAACGCCATTTCCTACCGCCAGCGGTAGCCGGCTGAGCTAATTTAAAAAATGCAGCCAGGACGCACAAGTGCAGTTAGCTGCCGCTGGCTGGTATATTTATTTTTGACGCCTCGCCTAAAAATTGACATTTTTTTGTTCTAAATTTTTTTTCTCCCAAAAATGTTTTTTTTTTTTTTCAATAAATTTTTGATACAGGATATAAAATATATTATAACCGATTGATATTTTCTTTAAAGAAGAAACTTAAGATAACCAGCACAGACTTCAGTATTAACTTCAACATTTACCCTTCATATGCCACACACATTATCTACCTGTACCTATCATGGGATATATATATATTTATATATACCAAAGAATTCAAGATTGATTGTTTCCAGGGCAAGATTATTTCATACCGGTTAATCTATATACGGGTTGCCTTGGAGTCACTCAAGACTGGACGTTTGTAACTTTGCAAACCCATTGTGCTGCACAGAGCAATCCTTCCACCTATTGTTTTGTGCATAATTGCACGTGTGACAAAGGAGCAGCCGTGCAGAGAGGCACAGAAAGCAAGCGAAGTGTTAAAATACTTACGTTGAGGGCAGTAAATAGGAGCCAGACGACAAAGATCACGACAACTCCAGCAGACGCGGCCGCCTTCGTAAAAAAAAATGCATATACAAAATACAGTCACATTATTTTGGTAAACCAAATATTTTGAATTTAATTTTCAGCGACAGCTTTTAGAAAATTGAATAGGTTAACGATTGTAGTGATAGGAGACCATAAATTTGTGGTGTCTTTTAATGTCTTACAGTAAGAATCACAATAAACTTCTAAAATATGTTTAATCTCTTTGATAAAGGCCTACATAATTAAATTAAAGGTTATCATACTCAACGGAAACTACCTTTTAAATAATGGAATTAACTTATAAGAGATGAAACATTTCCTGTGTCTGTGAGCAGTCAATAAACTACAAACACACTGAAACAGTAATCATAATCAGTGCTTTTCAGTTTAAGAATCAGATCCCGAAACAGTTGGAGTGTCCCCTCTGACCCCAACTTGTTGACGCATTTAGGTACGCCCCTTCCCATTGGATACGCCATCGGATAAGATCACTTACGATCAATAACAAGATAACCCATGCAATGGTTTGTAACACCATAAGAACCGTGATCGCCACTATGTAAGGAATCAACTTCGTCCTGTTGTTCTGCAAAAACAAAAGATAGAAAAAATAGACATCCATCAACCAAAAATATTGAACTATCATCTGAGGAATTAATAAAATCAACTAGGCCTAAATCCTGTTCAGATTTGATAAATTATTACAAATGCAGTTTGGTGGATGCTGTTTACGAAAAACAACCCGAGATTGTCTATTACAATTAAAGGTATGAGATCTATGAATGATGTATTAGTCCAGCGTTTTTCAACTTTTCTGTTAGTCACGCTACCCTTTCACGAAATAAAGAGTTTCGCGTCACCCCAATCCCAAATTCATCACAGAATATTCATTTTGCACCATTCTGACTCTCGTCAAATTCCATAATTGTAGGGACATAGTTGTTCCTAAATTTTGCGAGCGCGCGTAGCGAGCAAGAAAAAAAAGTTTTACCATTTTAAAATGGTTAGGAAAAAAATTGTAATCAACATTCTAGAAAATATATAGAAAAGTACTGTATGCGGGTACCTCGATGCCGAGTGTACATGCATTAAACAAAAATATATATCATATATTCGATTATGACGTCGATACGGGAATATAAAGATTTGGGCATCTCGAAATAATAATACTCTTGCAGTTTCTGGAATTCGTATGTCACGAAATCAACGTTATTCCAAAATAATTCTTTGATTTATCTTAATATCTCTCGCGGCATCCCTAGAGAGGTCTTGCAGCAGCACCCCCAGGGTCCCACAGCAAACCGGTTGAGAAACGTTGTATTATGCAAAAGATTTTGAAGAACTACGCATTGTCATTTCGATCCCATATTTGACTTGAGTTCCCGAATGGGACAGTGAATTAAAATCTGAATATCAAAAGACAAACATTCTCTTCACTTAAGTCATGTAATAATTTGGATAATGCTTTTCCTCCAAAACCTATTCTTTTGATTGGTGTCATTTTTATGTATCTATTAACACACTATTGATAATCTTTATTTTTATGGCCACATTATATTTCATGGTCGCATTTATCCAGTATTAGTTCTGTTATTCCCGAGGGCCCAGTGCATGTAGCCCCAGTTTTAGCCGATTACCTTCACCTGGGTGGAGAGTGGCAAATATAGATTGGTGCTCGCCAAAGGACACTATCTGTCACGATAGTTCCTTCTTACTTGTCTAATAATCTCTCTTCCTCTTTCTCTCTCTGTCTCTGTCTCATCCACAATGTCCTTCAATCTAACCATGGATGTTAGGTCCATGCCCTAACACTCTCCATCCCCTCCTTCCCCCTTTACTCTCTATCTTTTTCTTGAACGCTCTCTCTCTCTCTCTCTCTCTTTCTCTCGTTGTCCCTGTAACTTGTCTCCCGGACCTACCTGGGACACGCCATCTAAGAGAACAATGGATGCGATGAGAAGAAAAGCGGCGACGGCAATTTTAATACTGTATGCTGCTGCATACATCCCACCAGCACCCGGTTCTTTAAATAATTACAAAATCGTATGAATTAGTTACTACAAGTTATCTCATTTCCGTTATATGGTTCATGAAACATGAAATATAAATTCCACTCGTAAGAAAATAAGTAAGAAGAAATACGATAATCATTAGCACGAGGAAGGTCTATATTTACCCATTTTGAGACAGTAATATGTCAATGGCTAGCTTGATCATTCTTTTTCAAATTGGCCTTAAACAAATTATTGCTACACTGTTCTAATAAATGTAATTGTTATCATTCAAAACAATACGTATATACATGTGTATATATGAGCTATGTCAAAAAAAATAGCAGTCATTTTGAACCTTTAAAGGTGTTTGTCAATTTTAGGATTTTTAAGACCTATGTTTCCTTCTTTTGAATTCCCAGTGTCAAACACAAAGTAATCATGCAACAAAACGGGGCACAGTGCGTGAAGATATTATTGTATTGCTTTTGCACCTTGTGTATTTTATATGGCTTTTAATCAAAACTTACTATGGAACCGTGAACATGGAATGCTTGTCTCGAAAGCGTTAAATTTTAAGGAAAGTGAATAAGATGTATCTATGGTACAAATTATCCATAACAGGGGACATCCCTGTAGACCGACATCCTTGGAGTCTACGAGCTTAGGGAGCAATATCGACGATCTAGTACACCCTTGGAAGAGTTGTCAAAAGGTCCACGAGACCGAAATGTCAATCTCGTAGGCTGTCGGTTTCGTGACCACTTTTGTACAAAGACTTCCATGATGGTCAATCTACCTTCATTCGTGTGAACAATTTAAACCAACTAAATTACTGAATTCGACTGAAAACTATACAGTATTTTATAATTTTGGTGGGTGGTATGCCCAATCAAGACAGATCTCATATGAAATCGAATTTGGTGGGATATCTTAGTTTCTTTTTACTTTCTCTCGTTCTCTCTATATACATATTCATATTCATATTTATTTCATTTCCAACAGAAAGGTAAACAAAGATATTACAATTTTTCATACATACACTGTCGCTCATAAAGGTGGAATATTTTAGTTTTACCCTAATTTATGGAATTATTTTAAAAATAATTTAAAAATAATAGATCTAGATAATATTATACATTCTCAGATTGTATTGAATAATAATTTGCCAATGTGTGTTTTGCGGGACTGCTAAAGCATGGGTATGCTACTATGCTTATCAACTAGGGGACCTATGCCCTTAAGTCATAAATTACAGTAATGAGGATTAATGCTTCACAAAAGGGCACAACTATAGCACATCGACACGGTTTTGATCCTGGGGCCTCACAGTTACGAGGCCATTGTTTTGTCACTGAACTATGACTGTACGCAGCGGGGGCTAGGGTAGGGGGCAGTTTCCATAAATTAAAAAACAAACAGAAAATGCAATAAATTTTCAATAATTTATTGCATTTTACCCCGGTCCCCAACATAACAAAATCCTCTGGACGGCCATGCATTATGGCTCAAGGCATGGGCACACAGGATATTTTTTTATGTTGGAAACAGGGGTAAAATGCAATAAATTATTGAAAATTTATTGCATTTTCTTTGTGTTTTTTTATTTATGGAAACTGCCCCCCCTACCCTAGCCCCCGCTGCGTACAGTAATGGTTCAGTGACAAAGCAATGGCCTCGTAACTGTGAGGCCCTAGGATCAAAACCGTATCGATGTGCTATATTAGTGCCCTTTTGTGGGGCATTAATCCTCATTACTGTCATTTATGACATAAGGGCATAGGTCCCCTAGTTGATAAGCTTAGTAGCATACACATGCTTCAACAGTCACGCAAAATACAAATTGGCAAATTATTGTTCGATAAAATCTGAGAATGTATACTTTTATCTAGATCTATTATTTTTAAATTATTTTTAAAATAATTCCATAAATTGGGATAAAACTAAAATATTCCAACTTTATGAGCGACAGTGTAATTCATTTATAGGAAACTATACAAATAAACTTTGCACATAATAAAATTATTACAAGAAATTCTTAATTTCTGAGGAAATGGGGAGGGGGATCCACTAAAAAGCCGTGCTTGTAGTTTGTGGATCCCCCAGTGCCTAACATACTGTTTCAAGAAGGCCTATTAATCAGATAAAAAGTGCCCCTTTTTCTTTGTAATAAGTGCCCCTTTTTACTTGTTATAAGTGCCCTTATCAAAATCTGATAGGTGCCCCTTTTACTTTGGCAAGAGCCCCTTTTCCTTTATAATAAATGCCACGTTCCTTTCCGTAACTACTACAAGTAAAACAGCGAACTGCGTGTATTACCTGTAATATCTTTACTGTTGACAGCGCTGAAATACCCAGCCCAGTTGAAGGACGTCATCGCTATATAGATGAAGCTGGATATCTGTGATTAAACAAAATAAAACAAAAAGAATGTAAAGTTCGAAAATCCATGAGGAAGTGGATATAGCAATAAAATGGTAAACACAAAATAGAGGCCTATATTACACAGACCCTGTAGTTTTTTGTTTACATAGATATTTCAAACGGGGCAAATTAAGGGACTTATTGGCCTGTCTTCATACGAGCGTGTGTATATATTCCTCCGTAGATCATTGCAGTTACTAAGTTGCAGTTATGTGATGCAATGTGAGATAAATATTCAGGGGTGGTCTCAGCGTTTGCGCGGTGGGCTTTAGCGGTATTTCAAATATTATTTTTAACTTAATATTCAGTGTAAAGGCAGGGTATTTTACTAACATCGCTACCACTGCTGTAATGTATTTTTAATTGCGCCATCTTTCGGTGGAGACATACAACGATTTCAAGTTCCAGTTCCCATGGACATTGGTAGCCTCATTCAGAGCGCATCTAGCATGAGGTAATGAATATGCATGTCTGTGGTGTCCTGTCTGATAAAATGAAGGTATATAATAAATACATAATAATAATAATAATGAACATTGATGGCATCTGCACATTTCAATTAGGGAGAAATTATCACCATCATACAGGCTAATTGTCTACGGATATGCAGTTGTAGTAAAGTATTAAGTAGGCCTATAATTATTTTATTTTATTTTAAGATACAAGTTTGAATTCGTACTAACCAGTTGGTGATGCATTGTGGGACATGGCTGTCGACACATTGGGACATTCTGAGCAGCAGATGGCCGTAACCGTAAACAAGAAGTAGCGGCAGTAGTATACACTGCCTTCAATATCAACTTTGCAACTCTGTTAATATGTAGTTTAAATTGAATGGCAAGTGATCAATTTCGGATCTGTCTCTTCTAAAGTCTTTACAATTGCTTGGCAAAGTATTGACAGTCAATTAAATAACATGATCGCAAAGATTCTCACTTTCAATATCGTATCATATCTATCAGGCGCGTACGCAGGATTTTTTTCAAGGGGGGGGGGGGGGGGGGGGGGGGGTAAGAGGCCCCCCCCCTTTTTTTTTTTTGGTCTCGAAATTTTAAAATTTGACATTTTGCTCCGTTGGGGGGGGGGGGGGGGGTAAGGTCAGCTTTTTTAGATCAACCATGGGAATTTTTTTTTTTTTTTTTTAAATAAATAAATAAAAAAAACAAAAAAAAACAAAAAAAAACAAAAGGGGGGGGGGGGGGTTTAGAGAAATTTAGGGGGGGGGGGGGGGGGTTTACACACAAAAAAATACCAAAGGGGGGGTTTAACCCCCCCACCCCCCCCCCCCCCCCCCATTTTTTACTCTCTTGAGTAAATGGGGGGTTTTAACTGTAGGGTTTGTCACTTTGTTCTTTCTTTATGAGGAATTATGCAATGGTGGATAGGGAATGGCAACGCAAGTAAGGTACAACAGGAAATGTAATGGGTTTTATATTTTAAACTATTTTAGCCACACTTCATAATGGATGTCTGAAAAAGAAAAGGCTGATGTAGCTTGATACGTCTCGCTCTCCTTATAATGTACGCTTCACAAGAAACTTTAACGTGAAGAGGAAAGTATCCAATACTTATAGGCTAATTATACGATGGCTATATAATAAAGATGTATCCTAATTGTAAATGTTATTCTCTGAATGTAGAAAGGCTTGGAGAAAGCACCAAACGAGGGAGAAATTATTCTTGAAGCAGGGAACAGGGTGATGTTATATTTCTACAAGAAACTTATAGTTCTAAGGACAGTGCGTCCCAGAAAAAACGAAACCGAGAATTATCGATGTTTTATCATAACTTAGTCACATTTATAATTAATAAATGCCATATATTTGGAAAGCTTAGATCCTCCTCTTTCATTTGATGCAACTCATATGATGCATATTTCACGCATGAGTGATTAAAATCAATTTCTAGAAAGTTGGGTTTCTGCCCTTTCATATGACACTTCAATCAGGAAAAATGAGCAAGGAATGACAAAGTTCTGTTTGTTTAAAGGGAAAGTCCACCCCCAAAATAAGTTTGTTTCGATAGAGGCAGAATAATAAGAAAATCAGGTGAGTGAAAGTTTGAGCAAATTCTGAATGAAAATAAGAAAGTTATGAATTATTGAAGTTGTGATCAATCAAATACAAATTGGCAACTCTGTGACTTATCATACGAGCTCTCCTTCATTTGCTTTGTGCATAATATTCCATAAAATCATGTTTTCTTCGTTATTGATGACGGAATATATATTTGTTCCTTGCAGGGGGAGTATAGAAACATATTTGCAATTATTATATTTAGGGTGCATGTATGGTTGAAATTTTTCCTGAGGGAAAATGAAAATTTTAGATTTTTTTAGCACTGAGCAAATGGAAGTTGAGCTCGCATGATACGTCATAGAGTTGCCAATTTGTGTTTGATTGATCACAACTTCAATAATTCATAACTTTCTTATTTTCATTCAGAATTTGCTCAAACTTTCACTCACCTGGTTTTCTTATTATTCTGCCTCTATCGAAACAAACTTATTTTTGGGGTGGACTTTCCCTTTAAAGTAGTGCTTGTATTTCCCTAATTGTATTAAACGAATTCGTTTTCGCTTGCTGCCTGCCGTAGTAACAAACGGAATTAACAATAGACTTAACTCCGTTTCGTTGACAATCAGCCGTAGACGAAAGACTTCATGCATGATTTTGGCACGATTTCAAAATGTTATACCCCCCCCCTTAAAAAAAAATCCTGCGTATGCCACTGTGGGGGCTACATAAAACTGCCACCAGGGAGCTTCCACCAGGAAGCTACTACTAGGAAGCTGAGAAGTCAAGTGTCAAGTGTTCAAACACTCACAACAGAATTACAATGTGTTTGTTTAATATGAAGGAATATTGAAATTGACGTGTCTATTGTCCATTAGTTAATATTCTTTTTACTGGTAGAATTTAGAAATTATGATAATAAATCTATTCAATGCCCTTCTTTGCATTTGAAGGTTAATTAAAATCAAATCATTTATTCTTCATTGAAAAGTTGTTATTCACTAGTATAAATTTATATTGATAGAGAATTTACAAATCTCAAACTCAAACACTCAAATAGTTGTGTAATATACACTTATGATTGATCTTAATTAAAAGATAATGAGCAAGAGACAGAAATGATCAGAGAATGGAAGAAAACAAGAGAAAAGTTCGGGAGATGGTATAACAAAGACGAAATGACGTTCTGAAATGGAAGAAATATGAGGACACGAAAGCGTGGTCATGTTACAAGAAATTTTAACACTGATATACTCTTTCAAAAGAAAAAAAGTGAATTTTGACTATTGTTTTCACTCCCCCGGGAGTCAAGTTTAATAGAGGTCATTTGCATAAAGGTGAATATCGATTTACTTTAGAGTGCTTTTTAGAAGGAAAAGAGTGATTGTTCACAAATTTAAACTCCCCAGAGGTGTCACGTCAGTGATCATTCGGTTTGTATAAAAAGAGAAGGAAACATTTAATATGTATTGCCTCATTGCGATTAGGTTTCTCCTCACTGTCATCATGGTCATGCAATCATAAATAATGAGGATAATCTCATTTCCAGAAAATGCACAACGTTTTCCACAGGTTCATATGGACGTTGTAACGTTGAAAGATCGTTCGTTTGCTCTTTCGGTATTTCTCCTGAGTGTTGTCGATCTACTGTCATCTCAAAACATTCTGAATCATGATGATTTTTTTCTTCAGAAGTGAATTGAATATAAAATAATAATCATTAGAATGAGATGTTTTAGAGGGAGAAGATTCACTTACTAATGAGTAGATGCCACAGGCCATGGAACCGCTCCTGACGTTAGAGAAACAACAACATCTTTGTATAATCGCCATGGTGATTTATTTCTTGTCTCGCCACTATCTTCACTTTAAGATGATTTTGAGAAAAGATGATAAACAGTTGAGCGTTGTCCAGCAAACCTTGATAGTGAACTATTGACGGTTATGCATGGTGATAACTCGGCCCAGTCAGGGATTTCACGTCTATTTCGTCACTCTCATTTTTTTCATACGTTTTCAGTTGCTGGATCCTGATTGGTTGCTATTTTTATCGAGTGCGCAATCCTGCCTGGAATCTGAAGCATAGTTATAACAGGACTGTCTACCCTCCCGCGTTTGGAGGGAGTCTCGCGCCACCACGCTCATTCTCCCGCCGTCCCAACCAGAGGTGAGAATAAAGGAGAACACAGAAATACATAATGAACGAGAAGAGAGAATATATTTAACCCGAAAAGAATAACGAGTATGTACACATGTACGACTCCAGCAATACCCCAACAAAACTGCTAAGGGTAATGCCAGACTCTGTCTCTAGTTGTTTGCACAGCATATTTGACTGAAGTGGCTAAACAGTTGTGTAAAAAAAAATATGCGCGGCCCGGGCCCCCCGGACCCCCTGGATCCGCCACTGACTGAGGCCCCCGGGTGGCCAGCATTCATTGCTTAGTCCAAAGTTGGTACGAGAGGATTTTGACAACACTCCTTTTAAAGCTTATCAGTACTAGTTCATAGGAGGGATTAGACTGCCCTGCAAGGTCACTAGACAGGTGGCTATCTCATCAACTCACCTCTCAGTTAATATAAGAAAAAGAGGATCATGGGGGACCAATGGTCACCGATTAGGCATTGTTTAATATATAGAGGGCGCAAGTAGCTACAAGTAGTGCAGTGGGCCTTTAAACGGCTTCTCCTTGGTCATCCGTGGAAGCAGAGAGAAACAAATTATTAAAAGCAAAGCAAAGTTAAAAGAGGTATACTCCTAGGTAAAAGCCGGGGAAATAATAAATGCGCTACTTTCACTTATAAAAAAACAAAAACAGGATTGCGTACTCGATTAAAATATCAACCAATCAGCATCCAGCAACTGCAAACGTATAATAAGTATTTGAGAGATATAAAATAGCCGTTAGACCCTGTCAAAGTTACACTACCTTGGTCGAGTAATCACCACACGAAACCGTCGATAGTCCGCTACCAAGTTTTGGAAGACTACGCTCAACTGTTTATCATATTTTCTCAAAATCATCTTAAGTGAAAATAGTGGTGAGACAAGAAATAAATCACCATGGCGATTATGCATAGTTGTTGTTGTTTCTCTAACGTCAGGAGCGGTTCCCTGGCCTGTGGTGTCTTCTCATTAGTAAGTGAATATTCTCCCTCTAAACTATCTAATTCTAGGCTAACGCGTAACATGGTAATGACCGCTAAACCAACTGGCATTTACCTAAAAAGTTGTAGATTAATATTCGTTGGTCTATCAAGGGAAGGTTCATTTTCCCTTTCTTATTGAAATGTGTTCAAATCCATTTTGAATTGTTGGAATATTCAAATATAAAAAGGTAAATGCTTTCAGATCAAGTCGGTATGTTTGGTTGAGAAAGGGATTCTGTTGTCATTCGAAGAAGGAAACTTGTGGAATAATAAAGTCGGAGAACATGTTTTGACAGAATTGACAAGAAAAGTTATAAGATCCATTTTCCAATAAACAAATTCACGTGAAAAACGCGTCAATATCAAGAAATCGACTTTACGTTCGTCTAACACTTGACATTTACGTGAATGTGTTAATATGTGTATTGCACTATGTCATTTGCCGGGTAATGTTGGAGCGCCTTTAGGACCTTGCAATGTCGATACGTGCGCTATATAAGAATCCAATATTATTTATTATTATTATTATTATTATTTAAAACACGCTGAAGTCAAAACATCTGCGTGATATTCACGTCAATATTAAGAGAATGGTTTGAAGTGAAGTACGCGTTTCTCAAACACTTGACATTTACGTGATTGTGTTAATACGTGTATTGCAATAGGTCACACAAAAAAACACGTACGCTACATCACGCCATTGTCACAGTAAAATCACCATTATAATAACGTGATTACCCCTACCTTGGAGACCATGGTTTGTGAACCTAATACTCCCCGTCTGCGTTTGGTTAGGACATTACATCTTCATAAACGACATGATCACATTCTTTAGAAGGTTTAGAATCGCGTCACAAAAACACGTAAAGCGGTAGTGATAGTTAGTGATGAATCATGTTCTTCATGCACGTGAAATTTACGTCGAAGAGGAATATATTTTTGTAACCAAGTTTCAACCCAATAATTACGCAAATGTTAGACAATAAATGAACCAAAATATTGACATTCTTATCCCGTTCCTGAACATCGTGTTTTGGATCCTTCATAACCACGTCCAGGCGCGCCTGAAGCAGTCTGGGATTAGCCGAAGGATAAACTAGTTGCAACTGGTACAGTTGAACCATTTAAAGCCAACTGATAACCCTGGAAATTGAAATGGGCAAACTGATTCAGTTGAAATGGACCAGATCAGTTGACCAAGACCAGTTGAATTCAACCGGTCAAGCACAACTGCCCTTGCGAAATATTAAATTTGGACTTTTTATCCTTAATATAATGTGCAATATCTTATACGAAATTATGTAATATTGTTATTCAAATATCAATTTATTTATTATTTTATATGAATGATGTCATCACATTTTAACAAAATCAATTGTTAAATACACTCTGAACTGTATTTTTGTAGACATATATCTTTCATTTTCTCATGTACATTAATAGATTTTTGGTCTTAAACAAACCGGTGTAGTATTACGTTTGCAACATACAGTTGTATTCCATTTACTCGCAGATTGCCTCAAACGGGTAAACACATTTCAATCCGTTGTTTCATTAGTTCATTAGTGTTAATTTTTTAAAGGCCCACTGCACTAATTGTAGCTACTTGCGCCCTCTTTATAACAAATCATGCCTAATCGGGGACCATTGGTCCCCCATGATCCTCTTTTTCTTATGTTAACTGAGAGCTGAGTTGATGAAATAACCATCTGTCCAGTGACCTTGCAGGGCAGTCTAATCCCTCCTGTAAACTATGGCAGATACGCTTTAAATACAAATTTATGCCCTTGTCAATTATTTGATTTTCTTTTTCTCGATTTAATGTGCAACATCTAATTCGAAATCACACTATATTGTTGTCCTTTTGATTCTTACGGTTTAATTTCATCTCATCCAATACGTATTTTTATGCTTAATTTCAATTTTTGTAATAGAAATGTTTTTATAGCAATTGTTAAATACTTTCTCAACTCTTTCACTCAAACAACTTCCATTTTCTCTACTCCATTTCCTGCTTCCACCGTCTACGTCTTTCAACATGAAAGTGTATTATTACATTAAACTTATAACTTTTTTGTGCAATTTCAATTTCATTTTACCACTGCTAAATAATTTCTGCAAAAGTTGACGTACAATATGTATTTTAGTTTTGTATAATGTTTATATCTCTCTATATTTCTAACTTGTTTGTAAATTGAATATTTTCAGCCTGCGAGCTGATTGTTAAATGTGATTTTTCAATAAACCAAACCAAACCAAAAACTGAACCGATTATAACCAGTTGGATTTCACTGGTCTAGCTGGGCCAGTTGAACCATTTGGTAAAATTTTCAGCAAGTTGACATCTCCAGTTGAAAAACTGAATTAGTACTTTAGGGAATAAGTATAGCCCTTTTACTATTTGAATTTGCCAGCAACACAGCAACAATGGTTCGTCTGTAATGTTCAATGTCAAGGCATAGGTACTGAGTAGCCTTGGATAAATTAATAAACAAACATGTCATATACTTGTATTTTATTGAATTTATTTTAGTTCAATTCAATTCAATTCTTTCTTCAGCCAGTATATACAATTTACAATGAAAATATACAACATACAATATAATGGTTAGGACCCCTTAGACGCAGAAATCTGCTTGTAATCGGGGCCCTCTTACAAACAATAAAAATCAAAAGACTTGCATAATAAACATCAACACACACAAAAAAAGAAGAAAAAAAAGAAGAAGGTTATACAGGAATAATAGAAAAGAGCGAAAATTAGGAAAGAAAGAGATAAAAGTAGACGAAAGATGGGAAAGAGAAGTTCATACTTAATGTTTCGCTCATTCATGATTAATTAAATGTAATTTATACAAAGAAGTCAATTGTACTAATAATTTGCACTTCATATTTTGTAGTATTTTCGAAATGAATTGCATATAACTAAATTATCATTAATTAAGAAATATGCTGTACAGATAAATTGAAGATAATTCATGTTGATATTTGCATCAGAAGGCTTCGAATTGTCTAGATTTGCTGGTGTACTAGGTCTAGGTATAAATGATTGAATCGTGGAAAAGTACTCAGATTCGATGGTAGATGACAAATATTGAATACCCCTTCCGTCCTCTATTTTCATTTCAAGTAGTTTCTTTTTGTCCACTTGTTGGGCGCAATACCAAACCCACTTTATCACATGATATAATTTTCCCGACAATGCCCATTCGGACCGATTTCCTGAGTATTAAGAAATATGTATTCTTTTGTTTGGTTGGTTAGCTTTATAGTCATATGTATATTTCCTCTGGTTTCTCTTTTGGATCACATGCTCCAACTTATATGCACCAGCTGACTACAATATCCCCACTTTCGTTACCTGATGCTCGGGATCGATTTTAATACCTTCATCAATACATCCATAACTGTCTGCGAGCTCATTTTTCAATTCGTTTAACTCCTTAACTTTTTCGTCAGTTACTCGTTAAATAACACTATGTTCTAACTTTTAGATTTCTTTTTCAAGAATTCTTTTTCCTCTCTTCGATGTATGGCTACTCTCTTTAAAAAGGCTTGGGTAAAGCTCCTCATTTACAAATAATCCCAGAGCACTCTCCTATCTTTAATTTCTAACTTCAGTTTCTCCTTTTAATCGGATTTTCTCTTCTTTCATCTTATTAACATATTCGATATTTGCACAAAGACTATTGTTAAATTTACAATACGTAAGATCCATACTTCTGTTCTATATATTTTTTTTTTGTTATCTTAGAGAAACATAAATATTGCTTATTAGAAGATATTATATCGCACCTAATAACCAGCCCCGATCTTCAGATAATTATTAGCCAATGATCTAATCGACTTTGCATAAATGGATTTTTTTTTTGTGGTGAAAGTGAACTGCTTTTCAATGGGTTTCTTTCTCTCCATATATCTATTAAATGTGTGTTTGATAAAGTCGCTCACTTCCTTACTAAATCTTTTTTGAGGGCTTTGCTTTACTTTTCCATTATAATCTAACTCATGATTTCTAATCCAATTTAACTCTCTCCCTATTATATTACATAATTATTATTTCTATTTATCTTTTTCAAGCTTCTATGAAATTCCTGTAACATATGTATTTGTTTTTTTCTCTTTAACCCCGTCGGAAAATCTACGTTACATAACACCATGCTACACCCTTGAATTTCACAGGCAATTTATATATAAAGTTTACTATCGCCTTGCTCTATGTTTTTTTTTAAATTAATTAATTAATTTATTTATTTGACATATTTATACAGGATGAAAAAGAAACAATCGAATCAGCAAAGCTGTTTTTCATCGATATCCTGTTAACATGATTAAACATTTCCGATTCTAACCAATAGTTTTCTTTTCATTACATCAGTCAAAAAATGCACAAAATGCTTTAAAATGCAAGAAAAAAACAATATTAGAAATTCGTTTGAAAGAAGTTAATGACCAATCTTATTTGTTGAATGAAAAAATAAAATAGCAACAATAAAGACGGTTAAGAATCCCGAAGGTTAGAATTGGATAACAAGTGCAAATACGAATATAATAATCCATATAAATATTATACATAAGAAAGCATCTACAATACAATATACAATAAATACATACATATAAATATATTACATAAAAAGAAATCGAAACCAACTTTGATCAACGATTATCATGATTATTGAGTACGGCGGGCCAGAAATGTAAAACTAATCTTTTATTTCAGAAACATGTGCGTTTATAACTATTCTTGAAAGAGGAAAGAGTATGATGATTTTGCATTTCATTTGAGAGAGAATTCCATGTTTTCGGGCCTGAATATCTAAACGATTGCTTGAATAATTCAGTATTTGGTTTTGGTAAGACCACATTGAGTGAGTCAGAATTGCGAGCGTTGAAACCATGTCTATCACAGAACATTTCAATTTTATTACATAGTCTTACTGGAGCATTACCATGTATACATCGGAATATAAGCATATTAATAAAATAATCTCTTCTAGTTTCAAAAGTTTGCCATTTCAAATCTTTAAATAGTTTAGAGACGCTGGTATCGCGTGAATCATAATGTTTCGACACTATACGGGAAGCTCTTTTCTGTACGCGACGAATATAATCACAGTATTTAAGTGAACAGTTTCCCCACACTGAGCATGCATAATCAATACATGGTTGAATGGTTGCTTTATATAAAGTATTTAGCAGGGACGTGTTAGCGTATTACTTAATCTTCGTAATAAGAAAATCTTATATGCAAGGATTTTACCCACTTGTTTGACATGTTCATGTCAGGTCAAATGACAATCAATATTAACACCTAGATATCTCGCCGAATCAACCTGTTTTAGTTTGGTGCCATTTAAATATACGGTTAGTTCATTTTGGTTGCAATTAGCTCTCGAGGATACAACCGTAACATGAGTTTTATCAATATTAATCTTTAATCTATTATTATTATACCATTTCTCTAATTCGTTGATGCAAATCTGTAATTTAGACTCAGCTTCATTCACAGTTTAACCAGTAGTATAAATTGCTACATCATCTGCAAAAATACTACATGAGCCAGCATTTACACTTTGAATAATGTCATTAATATAAAGAAGGAAAAAGGTGGGGCCAAATACCCCACCCTGAGGAATTCCGATCGTTACTTCAAAATTGTTGACGGTTACTGCAAAATTTAGCTTTATGTCCATATTGAAAACAGGAATTGCACGTTAATTTAGTTTCATATCTACAACTTTCTGTTTGTGATTCAGTTCACCGCAGTTGTATCATCCTGTATAACTGTTCATGGTCATTGTTGGTCTAGTATTCATAGATGGAATTAGTGCAGTTTCATGTCCACCATCATTTTGAGATGTAGCTGTTACATCCGCATACAGATCATGCGCCGGGGATGATGTGCCGTGACTTATTTAACAGGCGGAAAGCCGGGTCTCATGATCGAAGACTGAGAAACTCCATGTACGTGATCTGAGATCGCACACCCAATTAATATTACACCTTCAGCAGTAAAGTTACTATGTCCCTTTTGCAGCCAACCTCGAATTCTTTAGAACTTTGCAGGAATCATGAATATGTCATGTATGTCCTATCTGTGAAATTTAAACGTTAGCAGTGTCCTCATATTCAAATTATGCAAGGAAACCCGTTTACTTGCTAGACTTCACTGTCAGACACTATTGAGTGACTGACTGGCTTTTTCTTCTTCTTTGTTAATAACATACATGAAAAGAGTTGTAAAGGGTACATGAGCATTTGTCTACATCAATAATCAACTTCTTGTGATGGCCAAGATTAAACTGATTGAATCTTTGCGCAGCATAAAACGTATGACCATTCGGTACAATTGTCTGAAAATCAAGACTATTACTTTTGGGCTCTATAGCCCTAAAGTCGACTTGACAACTAATAGTCGTTATTTTCCCACTTGAAGACATTTTCAAGCCCCAGCTTTTTTAGGGAAGTTCTAAATTAGTATTATCTTTCAAATGCAGTTGGAATTTAACTTTTTCATTTTTTTGGCCTGCAAATGGGACATAGTACCTTTAAGGTGGATGCCGTCACTTGCGAGATGCTTTTCAGGATCTATGGCGTCATGTTCAATGAATTTCCACCCGCGTCTAGCAGCTAGCTGGTCAAGTAACCAGTTTGCCTCATAAGTTTTCCATACAAGCTCTTTTTGGAAAGTTTTTCGGGGGATTATTGAACTCAGAGCGATCGTTAAGACAGTAGGGCATTTCACTAAGATCTGATCGGCAAGAGATTCAATCTGTGTCACTAGCATGCTTGGGCCAGTGTTTACCAGGTAGTTTGTTCCGACGTGTAGAGGTTATAATCATCAGAAGTATTGATTATAATAAGTACCCCACTGCTGTGTGGAGATCCCTGTCTGTAAAACATGACCCTTCCCACATAGAACACCACCTGTCCTCAATAATATTAGAACTATAATTTCTTGTAGAATTATAACATCTCCCTTTTCCTTGCTCCAATTTTTTTTTAAAAACCTCATTTAACGCTTTATCTAAGCCCTCTTAGTCTTACATTCAGAGAATAAAATTTACAATTAGGATCCATGTTCATCATAGCCATCCTATACTTAGCCTATAATTATTCGGAAACTTTCCTCTTTACGTTGAAGCTTTTTGTACCGCGTACATCATATGGAGAGCGGGTTGTATAGCTACAAACAGCCATTTCTTTTTCAGACATCTATTATGAAGTGTGGCTAAAATAATTTCATGTTTGAAACTGATTCTATTTCTTGTTGTACTTTTCTTGCGTTGCCACTCCCCACCCACCATTGTAGAATTCCCCACAAAGAAAAACAAAGTTATAAAACCTACAGTTATACGGGGTCTGTGTAATATAGGCCTCTATTTTGTGTTTACCATTTTATTGCTATACCCACTTCCTCATATTATTGGGTTGTTTTACTCGGAATTAAGTAGATCTGATTTCCGAACTTTACATTCGTCATGTTTCTATTTATTCATTCACAGATTACCAGCTGCTTCTATTTAGCGGAAGGGTCCTGGAACTTGGCTCTGGCCGTAAGCGTCCACTCCAATAATACAGGTAATACACGAAGTTCACAAGGGGAACGGGGCATTTACTACGAAGGAAAAGGGGCACTTGTCAAAGTAAAAGGGGCACCTATCAAATTTTAATAGGGGCACTTATATTAAGTGAAAAGGGGCACTTTTAGGGTACTTGAAACAGTGTCTTAGGCATTGGTGCGATGGAGAGAGGGAGAGAAAGTGAAAAGAAACTAAGAGATTCCACCGAGTTGGTCATGAATCCGTGGACCTTTTGACAACTCTTCTAAGGGTGTACTAGACCGGTGATATCGGTCTCGTGAGCTGTCAGTCTTCAGGGATGTCAGTTTACAGGGATGTTTCCTGTTATAGATACTTTATACAATAGATACATCTAATTCACTTTAATTCAAATTGAACCCTTTGGAGACAAGCGTTCCATCTTCACGGTCTCATAGTAAGTTTTAGAAGAAGAAAAAAAGGATCACGTTAGCCCTTCAAATATTACTGTCTCGAAAGGGTTAAAGATGGACCTTCCTCATGTTAATGATTATCGTATTTCTTATTACTTTTTTTCTTTCGTGATAATTCTTTAAAGGACCGGCTATAGATGGGACCTATGCAGCATACAGTATTGATATTATCGTCGATGTTTTTCTTCTCATCGCATCCATTGTTCTCTTAGTGGGTGTGTCCGTGGTAAGTCCGAGAGGCGAGTAACAGGTCTAATGAGAGAGCTAGAGAGAGAGAGAGAGAGAGAGACACACACACACACACCACCACCACACGCACACATATACATAGAAAGAGAGAGAGAGACACATAGAAAGAGAGAAAGAGAGAGATAGAGAGAGAGAAACAAAGAAAGGGAGGGAAAGAGAGAAAGAAGAGAGCGAGAGAGAGATAGAGAAAAAAAAGGGGAAGCAGGGGAGGGAGAGTGTTAAAGTATGGACCTAACATCCATGGTTAGAGTGACGGACATTGTGGAGGAGAGAGAGAGAGAGAGAGAGAGAGATAAAGAGAAGTAATTGGTGAACGAGTAAGAAGGGACTGTCGTGAGACTAGTGTCCTTTGGCAAGCAACAATCTACATTTGCCACTCTCCATCCAGGTTAAGGTAATCGGCTAAAACTGAGGTTGCACAGAGCCCTCGGGAATAACAGTGCACAAAACTGGATAAATACGACCGAGAAATATAATGCGACCATAGAAATAAAGATTGTGATAATATATACGCAAAGATGGCACAATTTTTTTTTTTTTTTTTTTTTGGGGGGGGGGGAAAACATTATTAAGATTATTATTTTACTTCGGTGAAGAGAGTTTTGGTCCTTCGATATTCAGTTTTTAATTCACTGTCCCATCCTGGAACTCAAGTCATTTCGGCAAAATTTATAACATAATGCAACGTTTTTCCGTGGCACCCTGAGGTGCTGCAAGACATCTTCAGGGATACCGCGAGAAAAATTTAGAAATCAACAAAATGTAGGAACAAATATGCCCTTACATGTGTTTATGGAACTTGACATGCGCCAAAATGATGCAAAATGGACATTCTGTGATGAATTTGGTACTGGAGTGACGCGAAACTCTTTATTCCTTAAAAGGGTGCCGTGACTAGAAGATTGAAAACGCTGGCCTAATACATCATTCATATATCTCCTACCTTTAATTGCAATTGACTATCTCGGTTTGTTTTTCGTAGACAGCCTCCAGTCAACTGCATTTCCAATCATTTATCAAATCTGAAAAGGATTTCGTTGATTTTATTAATTCCACAATATTTGTGGTTGATGGCTGCTATTTCTATCTATTCATTTTGCAGAACAACCGGACGATGTTGATTCCTTACATGGTGGCGATCATGGCTGTTATGGTTTTACAAGCCATTACATGGCTTATTCAAATAGTATTCATTGTAAGTGATTTTATCCGATGGCGTTTCCAATCGGAGGGGACACTCCAACTGTTTTGGCATCTGATTCTTTGCTGAAAAGCACTTGTTATTGTTATAGTGTGTGTTGTAGTTTATCAACTGTTCACAGGCGCTATAGTCGATTTGTCCCCCCCCCCCCCTCCGGATAATTTGTTTGATCGATGTGTTTTCTTTGAATTATACAGCATTATTCTTTTTGCTTGAGTTTTACTCTATAACGCTTTATAACGTTTTTTTAACATCCAACTCTGAAAAGCCCATACCGTGGGAGCGGGCAGCCCCTATCCATACCCACACTCTTTAAAACATAATATATTCGTTAACAAGATAATTCCATAAACGATAGTTTCCGTTGAATATGATTACCTCTTTATGAATTATGTATGCCTATATCAAAGAGATTCTCAATATATTAGAACTTAATTGTGATTCTTTCTTTCAGATTTTTTAAGACACAACAATTTTATGGTCTACCTATTTTATTTTCTAAAATGTTTCGCTGAAAATTTATTTCATAAACTTTGGTCTACCGAAATGATATGACTGTATTTTTTATATGCTGTTATTTTTTTGTATTCTATTTAAGGGAGCCGCATATATCGTGCTGATCGTGATCCTTGTCGTCTGGCTCCTATATACTGCCTTCAACGTAAGTATTTTAACAGTTCGCTTGCTTTCTTTGCCTCTCTGCACGGTTGATCCTTTGCCACACGTAAAATTATGCACAAAACAATTGGCGGAGGATCGCTTTTTTCAACACATTGGCCCGAATTCACAAAGCAAGGTTTGAGCTCAGACCAAGGTTTGAGCTCAAACCTCCTTTTGTTTCGCCAAACCTCCTTTTGTTCTTTACAAACCAGGTTTGTAAAAAATGCGTAAAACGCGTCATATGACGTACGAAAACCTTGGTCTGAGCTCAAACCTCCTTTGTGAATTCGGGCCAATGGGTTTACAAAGTTACCATTTTCCAGTCTTGATTAACTCCAAGGTAACCCTTATGTAGAATAATCGGTATGAATTAATCTTGCCCTAGAAACAATCAATCTTGTATTCTTTGGTATATCTATCACAGCATAGGTAGATAATATGTGTGGCATATAAAGCTTTAATATTGAAGAGAATTGTCTAGTCTGTGCTTGGTATGTCAATTCTCCGTTAAAGATACTATCAATCGGTTATAATAGAATACTGATTACAAGAAAAGGGGACAATATTATGAGGTTCTTGAATCATAAGCAGGGACGGATCCGGGGGGGGGGGGGGGCACAGAGGGCACGTGCCCCCCGACCCCCAAAAATATGTTAAAATCAGCCCTAAATTTACCCAAAATGTACTGAAAAACAGGGGCGTGCCAGTGTCCCACCTGACAACACGGAAGGTATGTAATTCGCATACTTTTGAAATACAAATACAGTTTCACTTTTCAGAGAGCAGCTGTAATATTCACATGAATATCGTCGCCCCCCCCCCCCGGTCAAAAAAAAATATGCCAATGGCTGACCTAAAAAGGTGACCTTAACCCCCCCCCCCCCCCAACGGAGCAAAATGTCAAATTTAAAAATGTCGTGACCGCCCCCCCTCCCCATCCCCCCCCCCCCAACAAAAACAAAAAAACACAAAAAAAGTTGTATTAATTGGATTCGTTTTTCAAGACGAGTTTTGTGTTACTTTATTTGATCTCTCTTTTTCAGATCATGTGTCTTCTCTGCGTCATCTCGCAATACCAAGAACTTAGCGAAGGTCGAGGAAGGGCCATGCAGGCACAGTGGAGCACCCCAATTACCGAGCGATCGTCTCTCGTCCTGTAAACATCATTTGCATAAAATCAACATTGTGCACCGATCGATGCGAAAAAAAGTAAACAAATTTCGAAGACAAATTCTTCATTAATGTGATGAATATCAGCAATCAAAGCTACTAAATCGATTATTTAATACATTTGCAAGACATTCATGTGTATAAGGCGAGGCGTCAAAAATATCGATACCAGCAGGCTGCCGCCTCACGTATTGGCGCATCGAGGCTGCAATTACGGCCGAAGCCTGGCTGGGGCAATTATTTTTCACTTATTAGCCCAGCCGGCTTGCGCCAGGCTGGGATCTGAGGCTCGGTTTCCATTCGAAAGGCGGCAGCCGGCGCATGCTTTTGTTCGGAGACCATTATGATGACATCATGAGTTAATTGAGGGTCCTACCGCCAGCGGTAGCCGGCTGAGCTAATTTAAAAAATGCAGCCAGGACGCACAAGTGCAGTTAGCTGCCGCTGGCTGGTATATTTATTTTTGACGCCTCGCCTAAATAGAGTTATTGATGCACCGAAAATGTGAAATTTAAGGGGTAATTTTGACGAACAAAAACGAAAAAAATGAGATACAAAATCACCGTAAAATTCACCATTTTTTCTAGAGCACAAAAGAATCGCCTCATATGAACAGAAAGCAAATTTAATAATCTCAATCCTTTTGAAATATCTCTTTCTATAGTTGCTAGATAGGGTCGAGTCAGAGCAAAACATACCCCAATGTTCGAATCTCATCGAACAAACATAATCCTTCGTTGTCGCAAAATTTTATGACTAGTCCCATACGTTCAAATGTGTGTTTTCTCTGAAACTCGCGTGTGCGTTGGCTATACATGTCTTGCCAGCCGAATGCACACGTGCACGCTAATGGCTAAGCTGTTTTGATCTGGCCTGCACTGGGCCCTGAGACGCATGCGCAGTACATCGCTGAGATCGATGACGTTATGTTCAATAAGTTCGCTGATTAAAACTTTTACAAATGAAGCCCCATGAAAAAGAACGTTATAACTATAAAAAATACAGCGAGGTAGCAAATAAATTTCGCCCATGTATGGATTCAACCCTCATGAATATTCATACCAAGTCTCTACTTCGTGCATTGCTGGATAGGGTCAAGTCACAACAAAATATCCGTCGTGTTTGAAGCTCAAAACACATTAATATCTCGAGTTTTATTCCATGGAATTTCATATTTATTTCATTGATATCAAGTTCATAATAATTTTAGTTAGTATTGAAAGTTTCATAACGAAATTGGCAGAAATAAAGGCGCAACGCGAATTTTAAGATTTGACATTCTAGCAAACACATGTTCGGATTCACGCAGATGTCCGTTGGTTATTCAAATAGAACGGGCCGCTAATGATATGCAAATTGGGGTGCTCCGCTGTGCCTGCATGGTGGGATAACCATAGCAACATAAAACTTTCAACAACAAAATCATCCTTCTGGGCATCGCATTACAAAACCGACATGAGTAGAAGTTCATAGACATCCCTTCAAACGCGTTTTACATTCAATTCGCGCGTTTTAATGGGTTCTCGGCGATCTTTTATTTATAAAAGTTTCATGAAAAAACCCTGGCCTATCGAGAGGCTGATATATTTAAATCATTGTTAAGGCTTTTTTGTCAAGATAAGACGCGGTAAACCGCGGCAAAAAAAAGGGATTAAAAGAAGACTAAACAAAACATGAATCATCATTTCCCCTCATTTTGCATGACTTTTTTCCTATTAATTATTTTGTACAACATGAGATATCTTCCACTACATAAATTTGTCTGCAAATTTTCTTAATCATCCACCATTTCATGTGAATATTACAGCTGCTCTCTGAAAATGACACTGTGAGTAATTGTATTTCAAAAGAATGCGAATTACATACCTTCCGTGTTGTCAGGTCGGACAAGCCATAATGTTTGTCCTACCTAGCGACAATTACTCTACGGAATTCGCATTCGCACCGTTGAAATGTAATTAATTTTAACAGTTGAAAAATATACATTTTGAACATGGACTTAACAAAGATTTATTCATCAAGTTTTGATTACATTACGAAAATGGTCCATTTGTCAAGCATTGTGATCGTCGTGGGCGTTGCGGGCAGCAGATGGCAGTATACGTAAATATGAAGCAGTGCTGATCTGAAGTAGTGTCTATAGAATACCCTTCCTTTAAACTGTACATCCTCTTTGAATCAAACTGCACTTTTGTTTTGGTTCAATTTTACGAATATTTATATTTTGTATATCCTGGGGGGAAATGCCGCTCAAGGCAAAATAGATATTGGTCACAAAATCATTTATTGGTCTTGACTGTCGACCTGTATACGCATGCATTACACATGCCTTCTATTTCTCTTTCGAAGAAATATATTTGTAAATATGTTTGTAATAAGTTTCTCTTAACTAATAGTAGGCCTACGTATCATTCTGAAGTTTATTTTGACGCTGAATCACAATTGTGAACAGTATAGATAGGTATTGGAATAATAGATAATTAGGCTGGTATCAAATTGCTGTAAAAAGGAGGTTTATCTGCAACATACATTTTACTTCCATTATCAGGCCTATATTCATTAAAATTTCCTATACCCCGTTCTTAACTAAATATGTTTATGTAATACTTAATTACGACTTTTTGCAAATATTACTTATTCAGTTTCTATGTATCCAGAATATGTTTGAAGCTTATGTGCATGTTGAAATTGCAACACAAGAGTAACAGTAGAGTAAAGATCTAACAATAGTTAGGTTGAAATGGAAAGCAGGTGTAATTGGTTGAATTGGTTTAGTAGTCCGGAGGCACAGACTCTAATTTGACTCTTGAACACAACTCTTAAAGTCTTGAGCAGAGCCTATCTCTGCCAGTCTCTGACTGTGTTCATAGCAGATTAAGTACATAGTCTATATGTAGTGATATCAGCGTAGTCTCAAAGTGCAGATACTATTACGCAAATCTAAGGACAAGGGTTAGTGCCTGCAAACTGGTTTAGAAGTTTTTTTTTCCATTTTATGCTTGTAATGTAAAAAACATGTACACTGATGAATAATGACTGCAATAGTTTTTGTTAATGATGTTAATGAAGGCCCATATTATAGAACATTCATGCTTAAAATCTAACAGTTTTTCTTAGGTCACACAATCTCGACGTACATTACGTCTGCATCAAGTGGATTTGACAAAAGAACAACCTATATAACTATAGTCCTATTATGGTACGATTACTGTAGGCTTTGAAATTAGTTGAAAACTAGCTAAGTAAGGTGTTATAAATATGGGCTCAGAATGATATTACATAATGTATTTAATATCACATTTGATTAAAGTGACTCGGTAACATTGTTGAAGGATGATGAAAAAACTGTGTAATTTTTGTATGAAATGTAGTTATATTCCTTTTACTGTACTTACCCTCTAACAGGCAAAAATTCCTGAGAAAATTCTCAAACCTCAAAGTTATTTATGGTTTACATTGAAGGCGTTACTGTGCAACACCCTCTCACAGTGATTAACAGTAAATTCTCCCAACCATTTTTGAATTTTCCCAACCGTTTTTCCTTGAAAACAAGACGTAAGGCAGGCTCTTAAAAATCTGTCAACACTTAAATGTCTGGAATGGTATGAAGAGCCAATTCATTGCTTTTTCTAACGATTTGCATTCACCTAAAATGTAATTAAATTGTAATAATATAGTTGGGACAGTTAAGGAATCGATTAGATCAGTTTTACCCACTTAGTATCGTTAATAATGGTCCGTTTTCACTCAATTTTTCACATTATCATTGTACATCTAACATTGAAGTCACTACCTCCTTACTCCTTAGCATCATTTTCTCTCATCTGAACAATGTTACCACGTCCCTTTAAAGAGTAGTCAATATTTAGGGTTTTGAGACAGATTTTCGTTGGTTTTATGTTAATAAAGTCTCGGAGCTTAAAAACCCAATGTTGTCGATTTTATACTTATTTGCTATTGTATCTCTGTGTTAATGAACAACCTTCTGACCACACAGTTAAAATGACTACAAATGACTGTGAATCAATTCATGAAGAACACTAATCAGAGGAACCGACACTTAATAGCATGCATGGGACTTAATCTAAGTGGTAGCTGCGAGTACACTGCTGCATTAGTGTAAACAACACCAAACCTTCATAACATCTAAAGTACCAAGGTGGTACGTGAGATTCCCCGAAGGCCCTACATCATCGGCCAAACAAAGGCCACACACTGAGACATCAGAGAAAACTCCATCATTCAAAGTCTCTCAGTAACGATGGTAGCCAAGTATCAAGAAAAAAAGCTCCCCCTGGAGTCTTGGAATAAAAAGCTTGAATAAAAGAAGAAAGCTGCAAAAAGCAGTCAGTTCATAAACAATCACCAGACAGTAGTACTTTTCAAATTTTATTTTCACTTAAACCATAGGACTCGCTTATAGCCCGCCTGATGATGGCGAACATGGTGAAACTTGAATAATAGCAACCAATGCAGACATAATAGCTTTTCGTCTTGGACTCAACAGAGCAAATTGCAAGAATGAACGGAAAACCGAAATCGGACAGTATAAAACGGAAGTTACGTGAAAGCAATCTAACATAATAGTAGTGTCATTAACCCTTGTGACCAAGAATAAGGAAACTATGCACAAAGTTAAGCTGCAAGTCAGTAATTTAAATACTCAACAGATTATGAACCAACTTCAACGAGCCCACCTTAAAGGGATTCAAAACTGACCAGAGAATTTTGGATAAGGGTGCCAAACAAACTTACCTTCAGTTTTACAAATAGGGTCATCTGGGCAGGCGCGTAGCCACGGGGGGGGGGGGGGGGGGGGGGGGGGGGGGGGGGGGGGGGGGGAGGGGGGGGGGGGGAGGGGGGGGCACGTGCCCCCCTAAAACTTCCAAGATCGGTTGGATTTTTGTTAGACCCCTTTTTTGACCTCGATCGATTACATGTAAGTGCCCCCCCCCCCAAAAAAAAAAAAAAAAAACAAAAAAAAACAAAAAAACAAAAAAAAACATCGAACTCTGGCTACGTGCCTGCATCTGGGACACTTTGGAAAGCGACTATCAATCGTCGTTGAGTTCGTTCGACAAATAGAGGTAGAGAAAACTCGACTTAAAACCTTCGACATTCACCTAAGAGGAGCCAAGATTTCCCGATAACGAAAGGAGTTTGCATCAGGGCATGTACATGATGTCCCAATCTCATTCTCAAACTCTCAAAGAAGACAGGACATCCTCTAGTCTATAGGTTTATAGGCTCTGTGTTCACGTTCGTCATATATTCGACATACGCAAGTTAATTATGGATATGACTGAATTAAATACGAATAGAGAATAATCATTTACGAATGAGGATCGGAAATTAAAATATATTCATGATTTTGTTTTATGAATAAGAGCTTGTATACCTTAAAATGAAATTAACATACCTCCAACACAATAAACGTTTATTAAAAAATAAAACCAATAAAGTAATCTTGAAAACAATGAATAATTATAACTGTCATTGTTTCTATGGTATAGGATTTCCCTTCCAAATTCGCGAGTTTGTCATTCAAATTAATTTGTCTTGCGTTCAAATTCGACGGTTTTAGTGCAGTCAGATATATCTCGGGTTTATATTCCCTTTTCTAGTTTTCAAATCTATGGAATTTTCGTTAGAATCTACGTATGTTTCATTCAAATTAATGAACAATGTGCTTCTTTCGCTATTTGGTCATTCGATTTGGCGCAACACGATTTTCTGACAACGCGACGGTGTACTTTTAGCATTCTAATTCATTTGTTGCATTCAAATTAGCACTTTGTGCACTTAAATTAATGGTCAATATACATTTCTCGTTTATTACACACTTTTTATAGCTCATTCTTTTTCTTTCAAGATTGTTTTTCTATGTGTATTTCATCATATTTCATTATCTTGCATTTATACACATATACTTATTAGATTTATCTGATATTCATCAGCATTTAAGTTTGATTGTTAAGAAGAAAAAACGACTTGCATCTACGGACCTGATGGTCTCAGTATATTTGTAAATGTTCATGTAAAGAAGTTGTTTGTCTATGTTTCATCATAAATTTATCATAATTTCATCATAATTTCATTATTGAAGAAGGGTACAATATTGTGACTAGGGTAGGGACTAGAGTCAACAATTTGAACACGATTCATTATTTAGCCATGTCTTTAGCCATCGATCTGCTGGCGGGCAAGTAAACTATGAAACTTTTGTAAAATTCCGAGTCTGTAGTAAAAAGAGGCGATTGGGGTACCCCCACCTTTCCCGGAAATATGAACATGTCCGTGCAGAAATGCCATATCCCTTGATTTCGCCCCTTCTTTAATTTATGTTTGACTACACCCATCTGCATTATCCTGAAAATAAATAAATGGAATAACAGCTTAGACCCCAACGGCAAATCATGCATTTAAACTGCATTATTTAAAAAACTGTAAAAGTTTGTTGCAATTCTTCCTCCTAACATTCCTAACTTGAATAAAAATATTACGAATACGAATGACAGGTGTTAATTTGAATGATATATATTACGCTTCGACAAGTGAATATTAATTTGAATGCTAGTTGAGCGGTTTGTAAATTGAATGACAGATCTATGAAACCCTTCGACCAAAGTCCTAAATTAAATACAAACATTGGAAATTGAATGATAATTGGCATGGCAAAGCCGATCTGTAAATGCAAAGTAAATGAATTCGAATGACACGCGAATTTGGCCGGGAAATCCTATAATTTAAAGAAAAATTGAATTAGGAGAAGTGGATTTCAAGTAAGAAAGGTAAATATGAAAAGGATAGGTTGGAGGGATGTAGGGGCAGGTAGGGATGGGACAAGAAAGAGAGAGAGAGAGAGAGAAAGGGAGGGAGAGACTCAAAAGGGGGAAATCACCATCACCAATATCACCACCACAATCAACATCATGATGCTATTATTACGCTGAAGTCACTTTCGATGAGATCCATCGCTTCTGTCCAGGCGACTCCGACAACCAGAACCAGGTCATTGTAAGCGCTGGTCTTGATATGGTCGAAGGTATCGCTTTTGATTGGCTCGCAGAGAACCTGTACTGGGTGGACTCCGATAGTGATACGATTGAGGTTGCGCGCTTTGATGGACGCTTCAGACGAGAACTTAAGATGAATGTTACTCTAGACCAACCGAGGGCGCTAGCTCTGGAACCGGGAGGGGTAACATGTACTGGACGGACTGGGGTGCTAGTCCGGTCATCGCCACTGCCCACATGGACGGTATGAACGTCACCATGCTTGTCACCACGGGCATCTACTGGCCAAACGGTTTGACCATTGATGACCAATCTTCACACATCTTCTGGACGGACGCCCACTTTGACAGGATTGAGACCGCTTGGTTGGACGGATCCAATCGTGAAGTCCTGCTCGATCAGAACACCCCGCATCCGTTTTCAATCGCTGTTTACAAGGATATGATATATTGGGATGACTGGTCTCAACTGAGCATTCAGTCAGCTAAAAGTATACTGGTGCTAATGTCAGAACTGTAGTTTCTGGTCTGGACAGTGCAATGGATCTCAAAATCTTTCACAATGCCTCGCAGCAAGGCGTAAACCCCTGCTCCCAGAACAACGGCGGTTGCACCCACCTTTGCATCGTGAAGCCAGACGCAAGCAGTCCGGACGCCGTGACGAGGGTCTGTGTCTGTCCAGATGACATGAGGATCGTCATCACGCCCGACGGGAGAGAGATCCACATGTAATCCTGACTAGTTCCAATGCTTGGACTCTGATCGCTGCATTCCTAGCTTCTAGAAGTGTGATCATGAGAGCGACTGTGCTGACGGCTCAGATGAACTCAATTGTCCGTACTACACCTGTAGCCCCGATGAGTTCCATTGCAAATCTGGTGGTTCCCAGTGCGTCCCGTTGTCATGGGAATGTGATCATTATGATGACTGCGGTGATAACTCCGATGAAGAAAATTGTGCTTTCCCGACGTGTAACAATGATCAGTTTACATGTGATAACGGCCGCTGTATTCTAATGGGCTTCCTATGTGATCTGGATAATGATTGTTGAGACAACTCAGACGAGAAAAACTGTGACATCACAAACATACCGACGACCGTGGCAGCTGGGTGCAACGCCAACTTCACACAGTGTGAACCCAACGGTCGTTGCATACACTATGAACATGACGAACAAACAAAGGGAACAAAATATACAGTTCCTCATTCAACCCTCCATCAATTGCTGTGGTAGACAAAGGAACATCCCTTCACTGCTATTATGTACAAATAAGTAGCACAGGTAAAAATATACATGTGACAGCTGTTCTATACATTTTTACATAATAGCAGTGAAGGGGTGTTCTTTTGTCTACCGCAGCAATTGTTGAGGGTAGGATGAGGAACTGTATATTTTGTCCGCTTTCTTTGTCCGTCATGTTCATAGTGATACCAACTACGTGGTTGTGTGACGGTGAGAACGGCTGTGGGAACAATTGAGATGCAGCACCGTACCAAAACTGCACGGCATATACCTGTGATGTTATGCAGTTCACCTGTCAAAATGGCCATTGCATTCCGTCCTATTGGCAGTGCGATAACTACGATGACTGTGGAGACAACAGCGATGAGCAAGGCTGCCCATCTTCAACAATACGGACTTTTAGATTTGCACAAAGACAATGCGGATTGCTACGGTCGATGTCCTTTTAATGCACTACCTTGAATGGACGTCACACGTATCAGTCCACGCAAATCTAAAAGTCCCTATTGTGGCCCCAATGGACGACATCCGATCCGTTAAACTGCAACGATGGAGACTTCCATTGTTATACCTCGGATCTCTGTATACCGTATAATTGGAAGTGTGACGGATATAGAGACTGCGAAGATGGCTCAGATGAATACGATTGTATTAGTAATGCCACTTCCAAGATCTACCCTAACACATGTGATTGGGACAGCTTTGTATGCGACAATGGGCAGTACATACCGAAGAATTGGGAATGTGATTTCTACGAAGATTGCTCTGATGGTAGTGACGAACATTACTCATCTTCCACGCTGATGCCGTACACTACTCAGGATCCTGGTTGCAGGTTCCTGCGGGTGCCTTGTGGACCAGGGGCCACGCCCCGCTGTGTCTGGCAGTGGTTTGTTTGCGACGGCGAGGCTGACTGCTCAAACAGGAGCGACGAGGCACATTGCGGAACTGAAGAGCCTGGATGGCCAACCACCAACATTCCTGTCCCGACGACCATCTCCCATTGTCTTAACGGTGACTTTAAATGCAGGAATGGTCAGAAGTGCATACCCAGATCAGAGCAATGCAACAGTTACTACGACTGTTCCGATCTCAGTGATGGAGATGGATGTCAACATGTGTTCACAACTCAAACGCCAACCATCTGCGGGATGGGTCAGTTCTTCGGTCCATAATCCGGATATTGTATCGACCAACTTTACACTTTGGAGACGACGGGCTTCTACAGAAGCCGAGCGAGTTGTTAAGTCTGTGACGACGGGCTTCTACAGAAGCCGAGATATATCCCTAATATGTTGACAAAGTTTTCCAGCTTATTATTAGCTATTATGTGCTTATAAGTTCTTTGAATTATTATTTAGATATATTCATTCATCTCATCTATTAAACAAATAATATAGTTACGTAGAAAAAAAAATCGAGAAAAAGTGATATCATTTCAACTTTACTCTAAATTAGTGTTCGGATCTAAAAAAAAAAAGCCCGAAATACCCGTACAGCTGAAGACGGACGCGTACGCGCGCGTCCGTTCTATATTCTTGCCAGGATTCTTGCTTGACGCTACTTCCAAGTTCCGTATGCACCCTTCCGCATTTCAGATATTCGTACTACGGGTCGTATTATCGATTTCGACCCTGATTACTTATTTATATTTATCTACCCTACCGGTGTGGCATTTTTTTCATCATATACTAATCTAAGCTTTATCGATGTAGGGTATTTACGTGACAATACGCTGTTCATTTTATAAACTTGACCAATTTAGCGAATCATTCATATATGGACCTCTTTTATGAAAGGCTTATCCCCCACCCTAAGAGGAACACAATATTGTAAAAAAAAAAGTAACTACTCTGGAAGTTTACCGTTTTGAAAGAAGAGGATGTACGTCAATAGGTCAATCTAAATGACAATACAAACAACCACTCTAACTTATATACCTTTACGAGGGCATCTAACCATTTTAGAGCAGGTTTGAGTAAAATATCTTGATCAACCTAAAGCCGGTCTTGGTTTGGGCGGGCATATGAAATGTTCGAATGTTATGTTCTGAAAAACGACCCCTTACTCTTCCTCTCTCTCCCCACGGAATATCACTCTTGTATTGAGCAACTCCGGCGGTATAGCAACGAATATGAGACTTTTCCTGGGCAAAGATGCTACCATTGTTGGAGAAAAAAATGCAAGGCAACATAAAAACAAGTTTTCTGGCAACGAAGAAAAGCGAGTGCAAGATGAAGAAAATATTTTTTTATTATCATTACTATTTTATTAGAATATTGTAAGCATCATCATCATCATTTCGTGTACCGGTTTACATGTACATGCCATCTACAGAACTAATCATGCAACGAGGATTATCAAAGTTTTATTGACACGATATGTTGAACGAGAGCACAGATGGAGACGAAGACAAATGAATTGAATTATCACGTTGTTTGCACTTCTTTCTTTATTGTTTCATAACATATAATGAATTACTATATTTTCAATATTATTTATTTTCGAATAAATAAAAGACTACCAAGACTTCGGCGATTACCTCCTTATTAGCAACACCCTTTAAAAAAAAACACACACACTGAAGCACAATTCCAATTTCACGAAATTCCTGACGTATTCAGAGAGGGAGGGGGGAGGGAGACAGAGAGACAGAGAGACAGACATAAACAGACAGAGATAGATAGATAAATAGATAGAAGGAGAGAGAGAGAGAGAGGGGGGGGGGGAATAATTGTGATGAATTATGATTTTGTTGTAATCTCTGTCCTTGATTTAGCTCTTTCCATTACAAACAAAACAAATCAAATATGCGTACAAAAATTCAATAAATATTTTATTGATACAGCAACCTCATATCAGAATAGGGTTCTAAGAGATGTATAGATAGAGAAAAATAAACAAAATTAAGCGGGAGGCAAAAACTAAAACAAAATGAATATTTCAAATTATGAGAAACGAGGTCGAAAGCATTCAAAGTAAATATTTTTTTCGTTTTCGAGAATAAAACAATGTTTATCTCAAAATTCATTTCCCAAATAGTCCTATCTTTACTGTAGATTATGGCATAATGTTGGTCAGAATATAGTTACAAAATATGTCGAAAACCCATGTAAAACGAAGGCTCGGGCTTATTATTTATGGCTCGGTTGATAATCGGCCGAGCTTTAGCAGACGACAATCATTGACAATGGAATGGGGAAATGAATGGAGGTATCGACCGATCTGCGCGTGCGGCGTTGCTAACGCAGTTTGTATTGTGAGTGTATTGAAAAGGAAAGACGTGAAGCTTCAGCAAAATAAGACGGCAATTCCTCTAAAAAAATCACAGACTTTATTTTTTGTAATGATAAACAAAACTTACATTTTTAGAAAGAAAAAAGTCCGATCTTTCATTTTTACATTTACTAAAAATCACGAAAAAAATGAGGTTGTAGTTAAGTTCTTTAATGTTGTATTGAATTCTGGTATTGTTCCAACAGAATGGTGTATTGGGATAATTATTCCTATATTTAAGAATAAGGGAGAGAATACAAACCCTGATAATTATAGAGGCATTACTTTGTTGAGTTGCTTAGGTAAGCTGTTCACATCAATTTTGAACTATAGGATCACTCAGTTTTTTGAGGATGAGAGTTTGTTAGGAGAAGAGCAAGCTGGCTTCCGGTCCAACTATTCAATCACAGATAATGTATATGTTTTAAAGTCTATTATTGATGTTTATTTAAAGAATTCTAAACGCCTTTATTGTGCATTCATTGACTATAAGAAAGCCTTTGATTTGGTTGACCGTGCAGCATTGTGGGTTAAAATGTTTAGAATGGGAGTAAAAGGCAAGATTTTTAATGTTATAAGGAACATGTACAGGTGTGCAAAATCATGTGTTGCTAATGAGGGAGATATGTCCAGTTTATTTACATGCAATATTGGAGTGCGTCAAGGTGAAAACCTCTCACCTCTCTTGTTTGCTATTTATTTGAACGATTTCCAACAATCTATAGGAAACTCGTACAAGGGCTTAGAATTTTTGAATACTATTATTAAAAATAAGTTGCCTTTTGATGGTATTGAAATATATAAGGAGTTATCTTCTTTGTTATATGCTGATGACACAATTATTCTAGCAGAAACTCCTGAAGAGTTGCAAAAAGCCCTAAACGCAGTGAAAGATTATTGTGATACTTGGCACTTAACTGTTAATGCCAGCAAAACAAAAATTGTTGTTTTTTCACGTGGGAAAGTTAGAAGAATGCCAGAATTTGTTTATGATGGTGGTGTACTGGAAGTTGTTTATGACTTTGTATATTTAGGAGTGACGTTTAATTATAATGGTAACTTTAAAAAAGCAATTGCTAAACAGGTCACACAAGCTCGAAAGGCAATGTATAGTATGTTAGTAAAGGCAAAAAGGTTGCATTTATCTGTTGATACACAATGTCATTTATTTGATCACTTAGTTTTGCCAATTCTATTATATGGTGCTGAGGTCTGGGGCTATGAGTGTATAGATCAACTTGAAGTTTTCCAAAGAAAATTTTTAAGAACGATATTGTTTGTAAATAAGTGCACACCTGACTGCATGGTTTATGGTGAAACTGGACGTGGTAAAATACTCGATAAAATTAAGTGTAGGATGATTGGATATTGGGTTAGATTAGTTAAAGGGAAGCAATCAAAATATTCATTGATTCTTTTTAAGTTTCTGTTGCAGTTGCAAAGTGAAGGACAAAGTTTAGTTAATATAAAGTCACAATGGGTCGAGTTTCTTACAGACAGTTTTGACTATGCAGGACTTGGGAACGTCTGGCGAGCTCAAGGAGAAGGATATAGTGCTGCCTGGATTATGAATACTATGAAAACCAGGCTTTCTGACATGTCTATTCAGGAATGGAGCGCAGCTACCTGGTCAAATCGTATTTGCACGAACTATAGGATGTTTAAGAATGAGTTGGTTTATGAAAAATACCTGCAGATATTATGTCAGAAGGAAGCAATAACTTTAAGTAAATTTAGATGCAGAACACATAGATTACCAGTTAATAAAGGTAGATTTGATGCAAATGTAGTAGATGATTTGCAATGCCCACTCTGTTCACCAACAGATATTGGTGATGAATTTCATTATATTTTTGTATGTCCATTCTTTCAAAATGAAAGAAAAATGTATATACCAAATAACTTGTGTGGTAGTAGCTTAAGACCAAGTGCATTGCACATGGATAAGGTTTTTAATACAGTTCACGCTTGCCAGCTAAAGAAATTAGCCAAATTTGTTAGAATTATTATGTCATATTTTTCAAAAGATTCAAGGGTAGATGGTAATACCGTAAATGATAGCTCACAAATAAGCAATGTTGTTAGGCACACTCGTAGCGGTAGGAAGGTGAATTGCCCAGTTCGCCTTGATTTGTAAATATGTTTATTTGTTCATATTATCACATGCTTATCATTGTTCATATTATCATATGTTTTTTATTGTTCATATTATCACATGTTTATTATTGTTCATATTATCACATGTTTGTCTTAGTTTATATTATCTTATTATGTTAATCAATTTTCATGTTATCACATGTTTATCATTGTTATACTATTGTTATATTGATACTATGTTGTAAATATGTTTGTACTCTCATACCCCGAGAGGGGGTCGATAGAGTCAATAAAATCTTACAATCTTACAATGAGCAATGAAAGTAGAATGCACCGCCAAATTTTCCATTACTGGCGATGTAACCGAAATCGTTCCGTCACAGGGGAAACTGTGCGCGGGCTCGCTCTCAAAGTATTAAGCAATGTAATTGAAATAACGACTGCATCGAAGGTAATGATGAAGCCAACTGCCATAGTGGATATACGGTACAAGGGATGGAAGTTGGAGTTGGTCCTGATATCAAATCAGCTATAGTACATTTCAATCTTCCAACAGAACAGAATTCTATGATCGTATCGCTCTATAAGAGGGAAGATGAATAGAAACAAAACCTTTGTATTATTGTTGGGTCCAAACGCGGATAAAGATGTAATAGTTCCATTTGGTAAGATAGTAAATATTGTAATGATATTAGGTATACAGTTTTACGTTAGACATGGAAAGCCAGGAAAAAAATAATTACAAAGAAATCTTAAGTAAAATTAAAAAGTTGCTTATGTGGTGAAAACAACGAGATTTGACTTTGATGGGGAAAAATCAACTAATTAAGACTTTTGTTCTATCAAAACTAGTATGTGTATCATCACTCACACCTGTACCGCCTTGGGCATTCCGTGAAATTGAAGTGTTGATATTTGATTTTTTTTTAATGGAATGGAAAAGATAAAATCAAACG